CAAAATTCGAGCTTGCACTCACGTTAGCATTTCAAAGGAAGACGACTGTGAGGTGACCGTATCCCGTCATATATTAATTACATAAAAACTACGGTGGCCAACTTGTGTTTCAAATGGCAATAAAAATGGACGATGTAAACGAGAAGCTTTTACCAACTGCACAGCGCCCACAGGTAGATGATGGTAGTAGGCATGCATTGAGTGGAAACATTGTATCTTTTATGGGCTGCATTCAACCGAGTCGGCTGCGACTAGCAGCTTGGCTGATCTCCATCTCGTCGTTCATGTGGGGATTTAGTGCCACCGTGCTGAACGTATGTATTGTTCCGGACGCAGTGGGCTCTATACTAATTGACATTAATCTCGATACAAAGGAGCAAGAGCTCGCAACGGCACTTGTGGTGGTAGGTTGTGTGCTGTCTGCGGTCATCTCAGGCGGTGTTGGAGCGCGCATAGGTCAAAAGAAAACCATACTTATCAACAATATTTTGTATGTTATTGGTGGTGCCTTATGTGCGCTCGCAACTTCTAAACGCGAGCTATATGCCGGTCGAGTTATCACTGGACTGGCATCGGGTGTTGTGACCAACACGGTCCCCATTTTGCTCAAGGAGATATCGCCCACTGTATCTAGTGGAGAGATAACGTCACTTCATCAGCTAAGTCTAACGATTGGCATGCTAGTATCAGCTGTACTGGGCTGTATCATTATATCCAAGGTGCCCTCAGGTTGGCGATATCTTAATGGATTTATGATCTTGCCACCGTTAATACAGTGCATCAGCGCGTCTTCAATGCCTGAAAGTCCGTGGTGGCTAATGAAGAATTGTGGTCGTGAAGACTGCCGAGCGACACTAACATTTCTGCGCTCAGACTATCAAAAAGGCAATATTGAAGCAGAGGTGGTGGAAATCGCACGTGTAATGGAGCATCGGAAGCACGAACCTCACGTCACCTGGTCACATCTTCTGATGCACAAAAGAGTCATGATCACCGGCACTATCCTCGTTTTTTTTCAGGCTATGACGGGCATTAATACGGTGATGCTGTACTCGGCCAAGATTTTCGGTTTCGCGGGAGTGTCCAACCCGTTTCTTGCCACGATTGTTGTAGGCCTTACCAATGTTGGCGTCACTATATTAACAACGCGCCTTGTTGACTCGTATGGACGCCGTCCGCTTCTCATTGTGGGAACGAGTATAATGACGTTTGCACTTGGAGTACTTAGCTGGTCACTACTTTGCCTCGACAGCAATCTTGGATTTCAGGGCATAATTGCGGTGATGTCAGTGCTTTCATTTGTTAGCGGCTTTGCCGTTGGTCTGGGCGCTGTCGTGTGGTAAGCATTTGAAGTTATCGTTTTTACTAAGTGTGTTCACGTCACCAAATGTTGCCTAAAGGGTCATCCTGGGTGACATTACGCCAGTGCACATTCGCCCGAGAGCGTTTGCTTTCTTTATGGTCGTATCTTATCTTTGCAATTTACTAATTGCGGTGTTCACACTGTCTGCCATTAGCTTTTTAGGACGCGGGGTCAACCCTGAAAAGAATGGTATCGCCAAGCTCTATTTGATTCTAAGGTTTGCTTACACGGAACCAACATCTCGTTTCGATTCTAAACACGAACTGATTCAGACTCTGCTCAACTTTTTTTGCCCCGTAGTGGCGTTGCTGCTGTATGCCTTGCATACGTTTACTTTTTTGTTGGTGAAACGCTGCACTTAAACTCGAATTTAGTGATTGTTGCTGATGATCAAAAGTCACTTCTGACGGAGAAAGCAAACGAGGTTCCCCGCCAAACGACTACACTTTAAAGTATATCGAACAAAGAATTGTTTACTACGTTCAAAGGAGGAGGCTGGATTACATTTGATATGAAAACTACTCCTTTAAAAGATGGGCAGCTTCAGCAATCTCTCGCAGGGCTTTTGAAACGGATATGAGACGCTCACAGTGGTCGTTGGGCGAAAGAGCATCGGTGAGGACAACCATTTTCTGCGTATATATGCAACAACAACATACATTGCAATGCGTTAGTAAATCCACAGTGTTCTTTATAGTGCACAACGCCATGATGAAATGGATTGCTCGGCTTGTACATAATCATGCGAAGATCGGATCAGGAATCCATGTGATCTGCCCCACAACTCTTGTAACGTGCAGCCACAGAAGTAATCACATATATAACCGGCTGTAAACTAGAAAAAATGCGGATGCTCAACCTCATAAAGCGCAGCGAGGGTCTGACGACGGATGGTATTCACTTCTACATCGCTGTTGGGGCTCAATGTGGTGACATTCTTGCGCTTTACTATAAAAGTGTGAAGATTAGTAATTTGATGCCGAAGCAACCACAACAATGGAAAGCAGCATAGTACTCTACCAGCACCCTTTAAATTTATCGCTTGGTGATTATGAGCTTGCTCTAGCGTCAGCATCTGTTTCGCCTGTCTGGCTTGTTCCTCTAAATGGAACCGCTGCTCGATGCGATGTCGACGCTCTTCCTCTTGGTAAGGTTCATTCGCTGCTTCTTTCTTGACAACCCTACTATCCTCTTCCGCTTTCTGTTCCGCTTGCTTGATCGCTTCCTCCTCTGATATGACAAACTGATCGCAACGTGCGCAGAGCATCTTTGAACAACATAACAATTACGATCAAGTCAAAGCGAAAGAGTGGATTCAAGCGGCGCTTGCCTTTCCTTGCTTATTACGCAGTAGTGGCGTGTAGCAGTCTTCTACAGGGCAGCTTGCACCCAACATCGTCCAACCCTATGAGCAGTTCAAGAAATTTTCAGCGTGAAATTAACTGGTAGAATGAGGAAAAATTATCCAGCTGAAGTTGGAAAGCACTGCCTGCCATCAACGCGACCAACCTGCAACATCTTTTCTCCCAGAACTCGACTAGCTTCATCGCGCGAGCGCTTAATCGGTGCAACGGCCTGTTTTTATAGATAAGTAGAGATCGTTAGCGTCAAGAGATAAAGTTACCCTTCAGTCGACATACCGTTTCCATGATTTGAATTTGCGAAGGAAATCCTCAAATCCTGTCAAAATTCATACCGGTTTTGATAAGAATACTCTTCCAGCTTGATCAATTTACCAGATGGCAGAAAGCACATCATCTACTGTTCGCGTGTGTCTGACACGCTGTCCACTGCCAACAGCGGCAAATGACGTTCACTCGTTGCCATGCCGCATTCACTTTGACGGGCCGGCGGCAGTCAAGACCTTCTTTCGACCCCAAAATGGCAAAAGAAATAGCAACAGCACAGATCATGGTGGTCTATGCTCCGAGGAGCAGGATACCATCATAGAATCAGAGCAGATGGACGACAATAGCAAGAAACTCTATGCAGATTTCCGTGGAATTAGATTGGAGGGAGAGAAGCTGTCGTTGGCAACTCTGGGCTGCACCGGTACATAAATTGAAAAAATACGCTGGGGGATGTGTACTGATGACGTAACGTAGGCGTCGTCTTAGAAGATTGTGGCATGCGACACCCGGATGATGAAGGACGTATCTGGGAAGTCGACGATCATTTTGATGAGATAACGTGGTGGTAGGTGGCGCGTTGGAATTTTCTCGTTGAACAATGACGATCACACATTTTGTGGCTTAGGGACGTGCCGAACCACACAACTAGCGACAATCAGCAGCTTCCACTTGTGCTGCAGCAATGGTGCAAGTTAGCCTCCGCGGTACGTGCATATATCACTTTATTTATCCTTCACGCCGACACTTGTGTTGTAAACGTTTTGATAACATGCAATCGTGTGTTTTGTGGTTGGAAGATTCACGGATAATAGCTCATAACGCTTAGGGCATCGTCAGAATGAAAAACATCACGATGTAGATATATTAATATTAAACTCGTAATCATCTGCTAGCAACTTGTCGACACAGCTAGTGTCAGAATATCATTCGAACACTTCCGGCGTGATCGGCTGGGAGGCTATGCAACCACTCACACAAAAGCTATTTCAATTCGGCCTCTTAACATGTCGATGCGAGTGCGGCTTGGTTGTGCCTTAACATTGTTAGTGCTGTTACCTGTGGTAGCGCTAAGTCTTTGCGTTCCTGGGATACGTTGGATGGAGGCGCCACAACTTGAGCGCTTGGCGAAGTGGCGCGCACAGCATTAGGCCATGATACTTGCATTGCAACTCAGAGTGATGCCTTTAAGCTCCTTGACACGCAGTCCGAGGAAAAAGAAACAGGTAAGGCAAAGAACACCGGCAATGGCTATGATTTGGATAGAAAAGGTGATGACATTCACGACCTATAGCCCTTGAAGAAGCAGAGGTCCGGGTCTGGAGAAAAGAATACACAAGATCAGGAAAGGAAGGAGAATGAGTAGGATGATCAATTTCAGGAGGATGGCGATGAGGAGAATGCGCAGGATACCATAGCATTCGCGAAGCTTCGCCCTCGAAGGCGCGTTTTCATTTGGGACTTGGACAAAACTTTGGTCTTATTTGCCTTACTGTACACGAGAAGATTTGCCCAGATGCATGATAAAGAGGTGGAACCTGGAGTTGTTATAGGTGAGCAGATGATGACATTTTTGCTTGCAATGCTAATATTGACACAGACGTTGACCACATCATTGTACCTTTCGATAGCGAAGGTGAAATCGTGAGTCAATGCGAGACGCTCCACCAGCCTACTCTTGAAGAAAGATTTGAGCGAATTTGTGACATATCTGAGCGTAGCGGGGAGGATTTCTCGCATGACACAAGTAGCGAATGGTTTCAGATTCGTGATGCGCTAGTGGCTGCTATTGACAATTTTCGACGGGCTGGCTGAACGAAGCTCGGTAAGTGCTGAAGCTCGCTGCAAATTCTTTCCCTGATCGGGCGGGATACACACATCGGAACAACAACTAGAAGTCATAGAAGACGAGGGTCGGAAACGTGAACGTACTGGTGACAAATACGCAGCTTGTGCCAGTATTATGTAAGTGCCTTATTTACCAACTAGATGCGTTCTTTCCGATCGATTGCTTCTACACGTCCGCCAAAGTGCACAAGTATAACTGTTTTGCAACCATATTAAAAACGGTTGACAACCAAGACGACAACCAAGAAGTAAAGTTTGTCGCTATTGGTGGCGGACTAGAAGAAGAACAGGTGAGTCTGGCGCTTGGACTCGAATTTCACAAAATTCGGTCGCTTGTGGACTTGCAGCGACTACGTTATGACCTGCACTTAGAACATGATAGCAGCAGCTTACTTGTTTTTGCTCTGGCGCAAGAGACGTCCGCTAAGGCCGCTTATCACTCATCAGCCGTATAACTGTTTACTAATATCTATCTCTCAAGAGCAAAAGTGTCCTCAGCTCTTAAAGTTTCTCGTCGCGCATCGCCGCTTTCATCTGGTTTGGAACCCTCCAAAAAATTAACGATGCGCTGTTCACTCACCTTCACCGCGTATTACAGAGGCATTAAACATGTGAGATGAGTGAGCGCATGTGCTGAAGCTTTGCTTTGGCCACCACCTACAATCATCGAATCCAGACATCTAGTGCTTTTACGGGTCAAGATGCTGTGCTTAAACATTGTCTCACAAGATCATCTGGCAGTCAAGTCGCACATTTTTTGAAATATCGAGCTCAGCGCCACACTTTTGATTTTCAAACTTGACAGCGTTTAAGCCTTCACGGTTGAAAAGTCAGAGACTGCCCTTTACCTCAGTTATTTCAAACATATATCATCCTGATGATCTCCGGCAACCATGCACTTATTACGTGCGAAAAACAATTCATTCATCAATTTCCTTGTCGCTTAAATATGTGAGCTCATCATATCCAATGTCTGCATCCGCAACTACAGTGGCGATTCGAGATTTTGTTATTTCTATCAAGAAGGCGCAAGGTTTATAGAAGTCCTTACAGTTCCAGAAGCAAATTAAGAGATCAATATAAGTCTGCTCAGTTTCTACATGCTATAAAACTTTCGACACATCATCCGAAAAAAAGCGGTACGTTCATTTCCCATTTATTTTTATCAGCTCATAAGGCAGCCATTCAGCAAACGAGTGACGATGCTCTCGCACTACAGGCATATTCAAACTTTGCTATAATCCATCTTAGATTCGAGCTTCTTTGTTTCACCCAGTTTTCGCGCAGCTTTCATAAAATCCTCTTCGACAACGTAGTCACGATCGGCACGGATCGCAAACATGCCTGCTTCTGTACAAACATTTCGCATATCGGCACCATTAAAGCCATCTGTGAGCTTTACAATAGATTCATAATCAATCTCGCCCTTCTTGGTAATAGGACCCGAGTGAATTTTAAGAATATCCATGCGCGAGGCCTCATTAGGTAGTGGGATTTCAATCTTGCGATCAAGACGGCCTGGACGTAGCAATGCGGGGTCTAGAATATCCGGTCGATTGGTTGCCATGACCATCTTGACTTGTCCGAGAGCATCAAAACCATCCAGTTGGTTAAGCAGCTCCATAAGCGTTCGCTGAATCTCACGATCAGCGGACGTGCCTTCCGAGTATCGACTTCCACCAATCGCATCTATCTCGTCCATAAATATGACACATGGCTGGTGGTCTCGAGCGTATCCAAACATTTCACGAATCACACGGGCACTCTCACCAATGTACTTATCAACAATAGCACTAGCCACAACTTTAAGAAAAGTGGCATTAATGTTGCAAGCTAGCGCACGAGCTAGCAAGGTCTTGCCCGTACCAGGAGGGCCGTACAAAAGCACACCTTTGGGTGGCTTGATACCAACACGAAAAAATAGCTCCGGATTCGTAAGCGGTAGCTCTATGACCTCGCGAAGCTCACGGATCTGATCGTTCAGACCACCAATGCTTGAAAATGATACATTACCAGCGTCTTCGTTCAGCATGTGGTATACTGTTGGATCCACTTCGCGAGGCAGAAAGCGCATGATGGTGAGCGTTGTCATGTCTAGCGCCACGCGAGTGCCCGACTTTAGTTTGCTCTTGTCCACTTTGGCACGGCATCCTACGACATAACGTGGACCACTTGAAGCCTTGACAATAAAACGATCGTCGTCCAGCTGACGTAGCACTTCGCCAATAATTTGGCCCACGCTCTACACGACAACACGTCATTGAAAGCAATGGTTGCACGTGTCAAGGAGTACTATACACCTGTAATGCTTTGAGATCATCTTCGGTCTTGTTAAATTCTTGTACAAGAGTTTTGACATTCTCGCGCATACTTTTAACTCTACAAAGTAAAAATGACGACTCAAATTGTGAGAAGAAAACTTTGCATACCGGCGAGCAGATTGCGGCAACGTGACACAATCTCAAGAAGCTTCAAATGACCATTGCTACATGTTGTTCAAGGAACGCACCTGCTTTCCATCTCACGGTGCTCCATGACCTTGGCCTTGTACGCATTCAACACCTGTGTGCGCTCATCTTCAGTCGGAACAGACGCCATTCTGTACAAAGCGTTCACTGAAACTCTCCAACCTTAGATACGGTTTTGTTTTGTCCAATCATATCGCTAATGTAGTTCGATTGGCTGATGCTACTATGGATGCACCAAAAGGCGCGTATCCATTGTTGCATTCGCCATGGACAATTTCTGGAGAGCTGCAAGTCGCGTTAAGCCTTTGTCCCGCTGTAAAATCGAGGCTAGCGAGCTTAATAAATGTCTGACACTAGTAGACCTGGTGGCTTATGGTGTGGGCTGCTCAGTGGGGGCCGGCGTTTACTCACTTGTTGGAGTAGGAGCGCAAATTGCCGGGCCAAGTATTTCCTTATCCTTTCTCGTCAGCGGGATCGCCTGCATCTTCACGTCACTCACGTATTCGGAATTTGCTGCTCGCGTTCCTGTAAAGTACCAAAAATTAGTCAGAAATGATTTGAAGACACTGAATTGTGTATGGATGAAGGTTACCGGCTCGGCGTACACATTCGTGTATATCACTTTTGGTGAGCTAGCTGCCTGGCTGATTGGCTGGAACCTTACTCTTGGATACGGCATTTCGGCAGGTAAATGAGAAATATTTGTCAATTTTCGTTTGCACTATATTAATTGTATATTCTCTTCTATGACCCTAGCTGGCATTTCACGAAGTTGGGCTTCGTACGTGCACCGATTCCTGCAGCAGTGGGGTTTAGACTTTCCCCACTGGCTCTTTCAGATTAAGATTCTTAGCGTTAATTGTAGCATACTGGCTGCATTGCTCATCATCTGCTGCACATTCATTCTTCTTGCTGGTGTTCACGTACGTACTCAAGGTCTCATATATCTCGATAATCTCGTCGCGCTGAGTCGAGTTAATGGCTGCACCAGGAATCTGCCAAGTTTAATGCATTTGTGACCCTGCTTAACGTCTCAGTACTAATTTTCGTGATGGCGTTTGGAAGCACCGAGATGGATGCAGCGTATTGGCAGCCGTTTATGCCCGCTGGCTTTCATGGTGTTCTAACAGGAGCTGGGGTAGTCTTTTTTGCGTACTTGGGGTTTGATATGGTGGCTTGTCTTGCAGAGGAAGTTCATGAGCCCCAACGCACTTTGCCTAAAGGAATAATTGGATCGCTTGTGATCTCAATGACCATTTATGTCGGAGTGTCGCTCATTGTAACTGGAATGGCCCCTATTGATATTCTTGGCAAAGATGTTCCTTTGATCAACGCTTTTTCATTTCACAATGCGCCATGGGCTGGACAGATTGTATCGTTCGGTTCTATTTTTGGGCTTACTACTGCTGCATTCACTTGCCTAATGGGTCAACCACGCATTTTCTACCAAATGGCAAAAGATGGTTTGATGCCTTCGCTCTTCGCCAAATTACATGATAGAAGTCAAGTCCCTGTTGCCAGTACAATATTTACTGGAGCTTTAGTAGCTTCAATCGCGTTCATATTTGATTTGAGCTTTCTGGCAAACGTCATTTCGTGCGGAACGCTACAAGTTTTTACCTTTGTAAATGCTGGTGTGCTACTGCTCCGCTTGCGTCCAAGCTTTAACGGAGTTAACGCCATTTACCGTGTATTGTTATTCGTGATATCGTGTTTCAGTCTGTCGCTGTCTTTCGTGTTCGATCTTTCTTGTGTAATCCAAAGTGTAGCTGCTGCGATAGTTATTGCTTCTTTCGTGTGGGTCGATCGATTAGGCAAAGTGGAGTACGTATTATTCGATTGGCAATATACTTTGTTAAAATCCTGAAGCTTCAGTATCTTATGTCGGCAGTAATCTGGTGGCTACATTTCAGTGCCCATTGGTTCCATTCGTGCCATGCATGGGAATTCTTGCCAATGTGTATATGGTGTCAAGCATCCCTAGCGAGGGGTGGTACGTATACTACCCATGTCAGATCATTTGCATCCGCTAACCCTAGCTTCTACTGATCAATGTGACCAGGATTGGAGTTTTGATATGGTCAGGAGTAGGATTGATAGCTTATTTGTGCTACGGAATCCGCAACAGTTTGCTGAATGACCCTGCCATCTTACAGCCGCTAATATAACGACATGCACAGATCATGAACAGTTTATTTTTGTAACTCCTTACAAAATTAGCTAAACGCCGTTCAGGATCTATTGTAAGGCGAACAGAACTTCTCGCATTGCCACAAATTTATTCAGCAAATGAAGGAAACAGCTGATATCCTTCTACCTTTTCAATTGCCCCGACCCGACGAGAATGACATTCCTACAAAACTTAACAGTAAAGACCGTGATCATTCCATTGATCGTGATAGCTATTCTAATACCCTCTCTTGCAATTGGGACGACGAGACAAGTGAAATGTATCGTCAGACTGTTCCGCTTGTGCAGTCTCACTCAACCGCAGCAATTAAAACGCTAGGAGCAATTGTGCGCGATCGCAAGCTTGTCAGGCGCATGTTGCATCGTCCACAGCCGTATGCAAAGCAACTTGATCGACGTCCATTCTTGTCGTTGAGTTCTACGTCAAAATTGTCGGTCTTGGTGCCGAACTCGTCGTCATTTTCACCTAGTAGAACTGCTCTGCGAAGCGACCGTCGGTTGGCATTTATGGCTGCATGTGAAAAGCTTATAGTGACTTTTGATCCGCATGCGCAGTACACTCGACGTATTTTGCTTGCACAGATTAAGCCACTGCTTCAATTTCATGGACTTAAAGTCGATGGTACAGCATTTCATCGATGGAAACAATGCCTGCAGCCTTCCGATTTGACCACAATACCGACGGTTTCAGTCACTGATTTTATTCAAGGATGTCAACTCTGGTTCACCGAAACATTCCTTATCGAGCATGTACAAAACAATCTGACGCATCAGGAGCTTCAGTGCACTATGAACTCGAGTAAAGGAATGCAAACGAATTTGACGTCATTGCAGTACAATTATCAGCTAGCCCCTATTCATTCCAAACAGTCATTGTTTGATCAGCTTGTACATGAAAGTGATGTCACAAGCACTTTTTCTTACGAGACTTATGCTCGCCACCCAACCGCAAGTACACCATCACTATATCCTTCAATGTCTGCTCCATCTTTGCTGCATGCAAAATGCAGTGAAGATTTAGCAGCGGCAAAAAAATCTGAAATTGCCCGAACGAAAAAGGAACCTACCTATTTGGCTCGACAGTCGAAACAGCAAAGTGCAGAGAGTACACGTGCTTTTAATGCAAGTGTAGCACTAATGTCTCGTCATGCGCACCACGAGAAGTTTCGCAAGCACAGCGAGCATCAACGTAGTTTGCAAATTGCGCGAATTGACCAGAGTCGTCAGCGAAATCAACAACACAAATTACATTGTGAAGCAATTGAACATGATGCTCGCACACAACGAACCCGAGATGTCCTAGCAAAGAAAGCTCGTACCGCAGGAGAGCTGGTCTTGTCACGTGACTTAGTGGCACTTCGTGAAGAAGAAGTACGTCGCAACAAGTCTCGTTTTACGATTTCATCTTCCTCAAGCACTCTTATTCCTACATCATCGAAAGCTCTGGCTGCGCGTGCGTTAGCCATCTCGAAAGTAGACCAGAAACGATCTAGTCGTTTAAAATGTAAGCATGCCGAGCGCATGCGCAGTCTGCAACTGCTGAATTATGTGTACGACCGAAAGCGGATCATGGCCAACGCTTTGCGGCCTCGTGCAAACTCAGCCTTTGTGGTAGTGGATGTAGCTGACGACAAACTTTCTGTCGAGCGAGTCTTGCAAAATGCAAGTGACGAAATTTGGTATCAGGTTATCCAGCAGCAGCTTCATGAAGATCCTAATGGTGTCGCTAGATTTGTTTCACCCTGCAACACTCCACCTGCAGCACTTCGCTATTTTGGAACTAGCCGATCCGTTTCCTTGCCGGCATTTGCTTCAACTCTTGACCGCAATCTGCAATAGTACAGCAGAAGCAGAAGAAAGAGACTGAAAGTACGTGTATTCTATTTGGCAAGTATAGCATCTATATTTAGTGAGAAGCGCCTTTGGTCATTTTGAATTTCTTTTTGGCAATTGTTTTGGGGTTAAAATGACCTTTGCGGTGCTGCTTCTTCCACTTCTGACGACCAGCAGTACTCTTGCCCACGCCAGTGTTGCCATAGCTAATACGGTCTTCAACAGTCTGTTTCGTGTCTTCAGCGTCAGGAGCCACGAACGTGTGCAACGGATCATTGTCTATTCGACGCTTGCCCTCGGTGAGACGCTGTCGCTTATTGTGCTTGCCGTGTTTCTTCTTCATGCGCGCAGGTGCTGGCGGCTGCAGCTCGATTGGCACCAAATAGTCGGGGATAGTCGCAAGATGAGGCTGCACAGGTGCAGAGCCTACCACCTTGTCATGCTCCAGTATATTAAGATCACGCGGGTTAGCTTCAAAATGTGCTGCCAGGCGCTCGGAGTTTAGCATTTCCTTCTTGACGTCAGCCAATTGAGCCTCGCGCACAGCTGAGCGCGTGACAGCTCGACGAACGTCTTCGACTCGATAGCGAAAACAGTCGATTTCCTTAAGGTCAAATGCTAACTCGGCAGGCTGTGCAATCACATCGTTGGTTTCAGAGCGAACGGCCTGCTGTGTAGCTTGAACACGCATCAGTGCACGCTCTTCCTTAGCATCCCCTTTGGACACAAGAGACAACGCCGTGCCGGATGCACCACCGCGCGCAGTCCGTCCGATACGATGGGTATATGCACGCACGCTCTTTGGAAAGTCAACGTTAACAACAAATTGAACACCGCGAAAGTCAACACCTCGAGATACACCATAACTTGAATCGTCAGAAAGCCCACGCTTTGTGCCTACAACTTTTTTCTTCTTTTGGTCGTCGTCGCCATCTTTTACTTCATTTTCTGAAGCCTCTTCTTCATCAGCACCTGTGGTGTCAACGATCGCTATTTCGGAATCTTGGTCAGAATCATTATGCTTATCTATTTTCTCGGCAGAAGTATACGCAGCATCAAATATTACACCATCGTCTTTCTCATCTTTTCTTTGCTCTTCCACCATGTCTCCTTCTTCGTCTTCTCCATGGTGTTCTACTACTTCTCCTTCCACGTCATCTTCTTTTCCTTCCACGTCATCTTCTTCCCCTTCCACGTCTTCTTCATCTTCAACTTCCACGCCCTTTTCTTCTCCTACCTCGTCTTCATCCTTGTCACCAACTTCATCACCATCTACACTATCGTCCGTGGCAATCAGGTAGTCAAAAAGACCGCGATTATATTCCTGGATAATGTGCTGGCGCGAATTGTGCGGCAACTTTGCGTTCAACACTGCACTTTTTATCATAAACTGTTCAAAAAAAAGCTTCATACGATATGCTAAATCTGTCGAATTTACAAAGAAAATGACCTTCCCACTCACGACACCAAGTCGCAACAATGCGTACAGAAGTAGGTCCTTATCTTCTGCTTTCACTGGTAAATAAAATTGTTGAATCTTTCCGTCCGTTGCTCCTTCCTCAAGCTTGACAACTGCGGGATTGTGTAGCACCGAACGCTTAAGTTTCTCCAGTTCTGGGCTTAGCGTTGCCGACATGCAGAACGTCTGGCACGCCTTAGGTAGAGCATTAAATATTGTGCGGATATTCTCACCGTATCCAAATGAGAGTACCAGATCCGCCTCATCGATGACGACGGTGTGCACCGAGTTTTTAAGAGTAAGATTACCAGCCTCTAAATGCACGACAAGGCGTCCAGGAGTTGATATAAGCACATCAGGAGCATCACGTAGCAGTGCCTGCTGCGCATTGATGCTTTGCCCACCAAGTGCGAGTAGACTCACCGTGTCTTGGCAATAGTACATGAGATCCACCATATGGCGCCGTGTCTGCTCCACCAACTCCTTTGTAGGCACCAATACTAGTGCTCCGATAGATGGATCGCTGATGATAGGTTTATCTTTCTTGTGCTGCAAAATCTTATGCAGAAGAGGCAATGCAAAAGCTGCCGTCTTACCAGAGCCCGTGCGGGCGCGGACCAGCAGGTCTTTGCCTTGCAAAGCTAGCGGAATGCAATGCACTTGCACCAGTGTGGCGTACACAAAGCGCATCTTGGCTACTGCCTTCGTAAGACGGTGGTCCAGGCCAAATTCGCACTCGGCAAAGGGCTGTTGTCCGTCAAGCAACGTCTCACTAACCTTGGGTTGCGCCATTGCTTCGAAGTGCAAGGTTGGATGGTCAGTAGATATATAGTGTAGCCCACACTTGTAGAGTAAGTATACGAACTTCTATTTATCAAAACCCAAAAGATGCAAATTTCATGTCTCTTGAATGGTAAAGTGACCAAATGGTTCTCAATCCGTCAAATATGAAGCGGTTCAAATTCGCCTAACCCACTATCTCTGACACGAGCTCCCATGATGAAATATAGGCGATATATAATTTATTCCCCGAAGGCACGATGAGGGGTACTGTAACGGGGTTATATGTGACGGGTCACACGGCACCTTGCACAGAGGAAGCTTGACTTCCAAGAGTATAC